CTACTTGGAAGGCTGAGGCGGAAGGATCACCAGAGCCCAGCAGGTCGAGGATGCGGTGGCCGGGAGCAGCGACTGCACTCTAGTCTGGGCGACAGAGTGAGACTCCAACTCAAAAAATAAATAAATAAATAAATAAATAAACAAACAAACAAAAAGAACACACCTAAGAGAAAAAAGGGAGGTGTACAACAGTGCATTTTGGAATCCAATAGCAGCACAAAGATACCTCAGTGTTTGGAATGGCTGCATTGTTCTCTATCGAATGAATGCATTATATATAATTTATTCCATCTCCTGTCATGGTTGCTGTTTTATTTTTTTCCTTTTTGTGTTTATACAATGCCGCAATGGGCAACCTTGTCCTATGCCGAGTTGAACTGTTTTACCATTTAAGATTTTTGGATAAAATTCAGCATCTTTCATTTTTTTTTGACCACGTAAATTATTTTACATAAATTTTCATATATGCTGCCCATTTTTATATTGTCACTTTACTTTTCTTACTGATTTGAAAAGTATCTTAGATATGAAGAAAATCAATCTAGTTATAGTAGTTGAACTGTGGCAAATAGTTTCCCCACAATGCCCCTGTCATTTTTGTGTACTGAAGTTCTTAATTTGGATATTAAATATATCCATCTCAGCGGCTAGATTTTCTATCCTTAAGAGATCGCCAGCACCATCGACAAACTGTTTTCATTGGTGGTTTACATAACTTAAATATCCACAGGCACTTGCATATATTTCTGCACTCCATTCTTTTCCACCAATAGCGTAGTATTTCTCTTCTTCTTTTTTTTTTTTGAATTGGAGTCTCACTCTGTCACCCAGACTGGAGTGCAGTGGCTGCTCCTGGCCACTGCAGCCTCGACCTGCTGGGCTCCAGCCATCCTTCCGTCTCAGCCTTCCAAGTAGCTGGAACTACAGGTGCGCGCTACCACGGCCGGCTAATTTTTTATTTATTGTAGAGATGAGGTCTCGCCAAGTTGCCCAGGTGGGTCTCGAACCTGTGGGCTCAGGCAATCCACTTACCTCGGCCTCCCAAAGCGCGGAATTACAGGCTGAGCCACCGATATTTGGTGTATTATGTCAGCATATTTCTTGGCAATTACTTACTTTAGAATATGGGGATGAATCCCACTTGGTCATGGTAATATAGTCTTTGTTTTTTGAGACAAGGTCTCACTTGGTCATCCAGGCTAGAGTGCAGCGGCAAGATCCTGGCTCACTGCAGCCTCAATTTCCCGGCCGTAAGTGCTCCTCCTGTCTCACCCTTCTCAAGTAGCTGGGACTACAGGTATATGCCACCATGCCCAGCTAATTTTTTGGAAAAATTTCTGTAGAGACAGATCTCAATATATTGCCCCGGCTGGTATCAAATCCCTGGGCTCAAGCAATCCTTCTGCCTTGGTCTCCCAAAGCATGGAATTATAGGCATAAGCCACTGTGACCAGTCTGAAATATTCTTTCAACATACTGCTATGTTAGCAAATTTCATTTGTTAATATCTTATTTTAAAATTTTACATTTTTATAACAGATCACGTTTCACTTTTAGTCTTGTCTTCACATCACATCTCAGTGTCAATATTCCAATAGTTTTCCAAAAAGAATCTGTGATTTTTTTTCTTCCTTACACTATGAAACAATTTAAATCTTATCAAAATGATTCAATCTTTGAAAGTTTAAAATAGGCCAGGCGCTGTGGCTCAAACCTGTAATCCTAGCACTTTGGGATGCCGAGGTGAGAGGACTGCCTGAGCCCACAGGTTAGAGACTGATCAGCCTGGGCAACTTGGCGAGACCTCATCTCTACAATAAATCAAAAAATTAGCCAGGCGTGGTACCACATTCCTGTAGTTTTGGCTACTTGGAAAGCTGAGGCAGAAGGATTGCCTGAGCCCAGTAGGTTAATGCTGGGGTGGCCGTGAAAATGCCACTGCACTCCAGCCTGGGCGATGAAGTGAGACGACAACTCAAAAAAAATAATAATTTAAAGAAAGTTTAAAATAATTCACCTGTAACGCCATCTAAGCCTTGTGGGATGATAGCTTTTTGATAACTTTCCCAATTTCTTCCATTGTTATTGGTCTATTAGGTTCTCTCTTCTGAAGTCAGTTTTGATAACTGGATTTCCTTTAAAAAAAAAAAAGTGAAATCTGGCTTATAGTCTTATAAAGCATTTGCTATTTTAAAAAGTTATTTTTGACCTTGTATATTTATGTTCCTTTTTTTCTTGATCAGGATAACCAGTTTAACTGACTTATAACCCTCTCACTCCCAGCAAAGAACCAGCTATTGAATTCTCAATTTTACTATTTCTCAGTTTAAAATTTTTTTTTTTTTTGAGTTGGAGTCTCACTCTGTCGCCCAGACTGGAGTGCAGTGGCCGCTCCCGGCCACCGCAGCCTCGACCTGCTGGGCTCCGGCGATCCTTCCTCCTCAGCTTTCTGAGTAGCCGGAATTACAGGCATGCGCTACCACACCCGGCTGATTTTTTGATTTATTGTAGAGATGAGGTCTCGCTGCCCAGGCGGGTCTCGAACCCGCGGGCTCAGGCAATCCACTCACCTCAGCCCCCTAAAGGCACGGGATTACAGGGTGAGCCACTGAGCCTGGCTTTAAAATTTTTTAAATATGCTTTTCTTCTTTATTATCTCTTTTATCCTGCTTGGTCTGAGTTTTACCTTCTTCTAATTCTTAAGTTAGATGATTAAATTTATTCTTTGCTTTGAAACGTGAGTGTTTAAGGCTATATGCTCTTTCCTTTGAGCAAAATTCTTCTTACTACTTCAGCAAGCCAGTTTAGAGTTATTGTTACTTGTGATAAAAATAGGCTTTAAAAAAAAAAAAGAATGGTTTCAGAATGTCATCTGTTCCCCCTCTTTTCCTCCCTTTCATAATGTAGAGGTTTTGGGACTTAATAAGATCAATTTTAAAATATGTCCTATAAACTCTTAATAAATTTGCCGGGGTACTGAGTTTGATAATTTTTTTTTTTTTTTTGAGTTGGAGTCTCACTCTGTTGCCCAGACTGGAGTGCAGTGGCCGCTCCCGGCCACTGCAGCCTCGACCTGCTGGGCTCCAGCGATCCTTCCGCCTCAGCCTTCCAAGTAACTGGAATTACAGGCGCACAGTATCACGCCTGGCTAATATTTGATTTATTGTAGAGATGAGGGCTCACCAAGTTACCCAGGCGGGTCTCGAACCCACGGGCTCAGGCAATCCACTCACCTCAGCCTCCCAAGGTGCAGGATTACAGGCTGAGCCACCGAGCCCAGCAAGTTTGATAATTATTAATCAGTCTACTACATCCTTACTTTTTACTGTTTTGGCTGGTAAGTATGACTTAATAACTCTTACTAGTACTACACTTACTAATCTAAGATTAATCAATATTTAAAGAACTAAAACTTGGCAAAGAAATACTTGACACATATGTAATGCTTTGCACTTCCTCAGAGTTTCAGAATTAAACAATGTCAAAACCAACAAAAATATTTAGACTAATGTGCACATGATTATAAAATATTATGACAATTTATGAATGCCAAAAATATTTCTTTCTTTTCTGTATAGATGGTATCTCTGTGCTGCCCAGACTGGCCTCACATCGCTGAACTCAGGTGATCCTCTGCCTCAGTCTCCCAAAGCGCTGGGATTACCAGCATGAACCACTGCGCCTGGTGACATTTCATTTTTTTCATGCTGAACACACAACAATGTATTTTAAATTCTAAGGTCACCACCTACAAGTTGTTTACATGTATTCGTCAAAAATAGAAACCAAGTTATTTGTGCACTTGAAAAACAACAAACAATTTTTTCCATGTTAATTTGTCTTTTTTACTGAAATGTAAAACTTGTATTACTTTCCAAAAGTTTGCAAATTAAGGTTACTTTATCCAATCCATCACCATTCTGTTATAACCAGGACATTTATTTATTTATTTTTTAAGAGACAGGGAGGGTTCCCTGTTGCCCAGGCTGGAACACAACGGTGTAATCACAGCTTACTGCAGCCTCAACCTCCTGGGCTCTAGTCAAGCATCAGCCTCTGGAATAGCAATCCTCTGGCCTCGGCCTCTCAAGGTACTGGGATTACAGGTGTGAACCACCATGCCTGGTCAAGAACTGTTATTAAACAAACAGGAAACTGTGGCTAACAGAAGTTAGTCAGCCATTTATTGACCACTGCATCAAGATACTTTAAGAAAATTTAAGAACATTACTGTATGCTGAGATTCCCAGATTTAAAAAACAGGCCTACATGGGAAAAAGAAATGTTATGAAACTCTCCAGACGTCACAGATTTAAAGCTTTTCCTCTAGTTTCATCCTACACAACAGAAAGGCGTGAATAGGTTCTTGATTTAGCAAGAGAAGGATAGTGTGCACAGTACTCTTTAACAATGTAGTTTAGAATTTTGCATGTTTACCTACACTATGAAGAGTTTAATTTCTTTGCTAAACTGATCTCTATATTATTTCTTTTCTTTTCTTTTTTTTTTGAGTTGGAGTCTCACCTGTCGCCCAGACTGGAGTGCAGTGGCCGCTTCCGGCCACTGCAGCCTCGACCTGCTGGGCTCCGGCGATCATTCCGCCTCAGCCTTCCAGTAGCTGGCACTACAGACGCGCGCTACCACGTCCGGCTAGTTTTTGATTTATTGTAGAGATGAGGTCTTGCCAAGTTGCCCAGGCGGGTCTCGAACCCACGGGCTCAGGCAATTCACTCACCTCAGCCTCCCAAAGGCCCAGGATTACAGGCTGAGTCACCGAGCCCGGTTCAATTATCATTTCACGTGGATAATTCTTTGCAATTTATTGCAAAATTTATTTACCATAACTTCACATTTGTTTGCTACCTGAAACTCAATGTACCTCAATGTAAGGAAGCAAAGTCAATGAACTTGACTTTCAAGCAACTCCAAGTGTCAAACTTCTTGGCATAACAGTGTAAAGTCTAAAACATATTGTAATTTACAGCCCACATGGATACACGTGATCCAGATATGATCCCAGCACAAAGGTCTTGTGCAAAAACTGGGGAGAGGGTGATTCTAATCCTCAAAGGATGCGAATTTCCACTAGTCAGCAGGTCTGAGTCAGCATTTAGAACAAGATCAACCTGGGTCTAGGTAACTAGTGTCTAGTCCTAGTTATAACACTATCTTACCAATATAAATAAAAACCAAAATCTATGATTTTAAGATCCACGAATCTGAATTTACTTTCATCTACCAAAGGAGAGACCAGATAAGTCAACTCTCGGAGTTTGTTACTTTCCTGAGATGAGCTAAGGGTGATTCCAGTTCCAAAGCGCCTAACCTGTGCTGTGAAGCACTATGGGACCTAACGAGTCCTGGCACCTTCAGAGTCCAAGGAATCATTTCAAAGCAAAGGGAGGCAAGGTCACTACACATTTATTTCAAGGGCTTCTGTTTCACGGCAGGGAGAGAAACAGAAGGCAGGAATGAAGACCAGCTGGGTATAGCTGTTAAGGGGCAAAAATAAAGGTTATGAAGAACAGGTAAACAAACATAGCTGCTGTGTTGACATAATCTAAGTTAAACTTAATGCCAAATAATTGGTACAGGGACTAGCAACAATACTCCCGCCCCCGAAAACCCTTGCACAAGTGAGCTTCCTAGAACGCGATGCAACATGGTGCCGCCGAACAAGCCCTGCTAGCCTGTGTGGCTGAACTTACCGTTCTCCGGGCGTCCATTTCCCCAACCTGTGAAGAGGGGGGAGAGGGACGGACGAGATCGCGAAGGCCCCTTCCGCCTCTGGCACGCAGCCCGGAATCCCAGCCTCCCGGGCGGGGGGCCCTTCGAACGCGGGCAGCGCCGGGCCCCTCCCCGCCCTTGCGGCTCATGCCCTCCGGGGAGGTGCCTCCCCAGCCCGGGGCGCGCCCGAAAGAACGCGTAGCCAGACGGACCCGGCGGCAGGCGGGAGAGCCGGGAGCCGGGGAGGCTCAGAACCCGGCCCGCGCGCGCCGCCCGGGCGGGGCCCGCTGGGGGGACGCAGTGCGCGCGCGGAGGACTGGGGGGGCCCCCAGCGCGGCCGGCCGCCCCCGCGAGCCCTTCCGCGTGCTTCCCCGGCTTCCAGCCGGAGTCCGAGGGGAGCCCGCTGCTGCCCCGCGCCCGCCCCCGCACTCACCCATCACCGCGGGCGTCCCGCAGGACGGCGAGCCTGCCAGCCCGCAAGCCAGCGCCGCGCAGGCGCAGAC